ATATGTTAAGTTACGTTTATCCTCCTTATGTAGGGCTTGTACAAATTATTATAGGAATCTAACCTTTGTGGGCCAAGAGCCTTGCCGCTCTCTGGCTCGGCCGGCTGGACTCAGTAAGAATTTTGTGAGCCTTTTCAATCGCCTAGATCTGAGTGCATCACCAGTTGGATAGATCCATAAAGACTGCCAATCAGCTCACTGGTTGTGGATCGGTAGGACATATCTGATTGGCTCAATTTTGCGGACCGGTAGACATATTCTGATCGTCGACTCTTAATCTCCATAAAGGAGCTTCTATAGACAGTATGAGGCTAGATCATTGGGCAAAGGGTAAATCACCCTTGTAGTTGATCTACCTAAAAATAACACATTTTTAGTATATGTTTCATGTTTATTTTATTCATATTTTTTATGATATTGTACTTTAAAGGAAGGTATTTTGCATGTTTTTAGTTTTAGCTATATAGAATGGACCTTTGGAGAAAATGAGGATAAAATAAAGCAAAAGTGGATGCTTTTGTATGGTGTCATAGTGCTACCCTTGGTGTCGTAGCTCCAGTATACAGGCTAAATGGGGGCTATAGTGCCCCACGCTAATAACCAATTTTCTAGAATATTCATTGAATTTGACCAAATTTAGAAGGGGTGCTTGAAGTGACCCTTCGTGATTTTTAATAGGGCCAAGTTCTAGTGAAAAGGGAGGCTGGGTAAAGTCTTTTTGGTGTCAGTTTGGGGTCATCTTGGAAAGTTCAGTTGGAGCCTAGCATGTGTGTGCGAGTGATTGAGTGAGACACTTTTTTTTGTGTAAATGTTTGGAGATTGGCTTCAAGAAACTTAGGATTTTCTTAGGGAAAAGAGGTAAAAATAAGTATCTTGTATTAGTATTTAAGTTTTTGTTGTAAGACTTGGATATCAATACAAACTATGACTTTTTGTTTTATCTCTAAGAATTCTGAGTAGTTCTCTTTCTTTCTCTTTTCAAGTGGGAATTAATTTTGTGGGATGAGAATGAATTGAAGATCTCTTTTTTATTTTTAAAACATTGTGATAGTATTTTCACCAGTTCTTCATTGACTTTGCAAACTGCTCATTTGTATCATTAAAATCCATTGAGAAACATAATGACCCAGAAAGGATATGATTTCACCAACTAATAAGTATTGCATTTCATTATGGGCGGAGATGTTGCGATCACTTGAGGGAGTCCAACTAAATATGGAGGTAAACTTTGATGGGCTCAGAATTAATGTTTTAGGGTGACAGACTAAATTCTCTTATCAATTTAACTTAGAGTTTTGATCGTAAGAGTTCCTAGTAGGTTTGTGAAGAATCTGGAAGTGAGAGGCTAGAATGTACTCAGCATTACTACAGAAGCTGGTGAGAAACTCTAGGTTAGCCAATGTTCGTTGCAAGCACTGAGAAGGGGTAAGGAAAAGGAATGCTCCTATTTGGCACAATATAACATTTTATCTTTTTCATCATTCAATTCGTACCCTAATTAACATCTCTTTGCAAGGAAAATGATCTTTTCATAATATTTCAAACCCTCTTTTAAAGTATTTTAAACGATGTTAGTTTTTAATCTTTGTCAGTCTTTTAATCTCTGTTTTTATTTTTTGCATAAACTTAGTGTTAAAGTGTTACCAATATTTCGAAATAGTTTTCCTATGTAATATCTGGAGTTTAGATTGAAGTTTTGTAAGTCAATATTATAGAATTTCAGCTTTCCTATATTACTTGAAATGATATATATGCTTGCGTAATAATCATATTGTGAAGTTTATTATTTATTTTTATTTATTCACACAAGCTGCTGAATATAATTTGAGTCAAATTTTTTACAATAATTTGGAGTTCAAAAATCTGCATAGTTGCGGATTGGGTCAGCAGTCTTCCCTTTGACAAGTGGATCCTGATGGGATGGCTTAGACCTATTGTATTTTCTTAAAGAGATAAGGGGAGCCGATTGAGTGATCCAAGTATGACAGAGTCACAGGACTAGGCTCTCTCTTGGATTGACTTCATTAAGATGCTAGACTTGGGTGACCCTTCCTCTGTCCTCTGAATGAGCCGCTTGAGCTAATAGCACTTTGATTGTCTTTAGGACTTAGGCAGCCTCGGGTTTCCATATCCGTTCCGATATCTGATTCCTCAATCTAACTTTGTATGAGCCCTCTTGGTAAAAGAGCCCTTTTCCTTGGACCTTCAGATGTTCTCAGATTCATGTTGGAAAAAATTATATGCACGCAACCACTTTGGCTCCACCTAATTTAGTAAAAAAAAATTGTATAACCATTTTTTTATGTACAGATCTGAAATTTAAAGAAATTTAATCGCTAAAATACATATGAATCTATACGGAGCCTCAACAAATCTGTAAAAATAGAAGTTAAGAAAAAAAAAAATAACACATCTGTATTAGAAACAGAGGTAAAAATTATCCGATTAAGATGAGCCGCGTCATCGGCTTACATTTAGTTTGTATTTTTAATTTAATTATACAAAAAAAATATTATTTATAATTAAGAAAAATAAGAAATTCCAAACAATAATTATAGCATAGAGGAAGTTACTGGTATGCCTGCTAGATATTTCTGTGCTTCTTTCGATCGATCAAAGCCGTTCTATTTTTATGTGTTCTATCTCCCCGCCTTTTTTGCATCCATATACACGCATATATGTCGTGCCTCTCTCGTCTGCTCCTATCTCTCTGAGAAGAAAAATGGCGAAGTGTATTTTATCAAGACTATTCTCTTGCGCCAGTCCCAGCGACATCACCGGCGACGGTGGTAACAGAGAGGTCAGCACTTCGTCGCGACACAGCTTTTCTTGCAGTCTGATGGAGGAGAACGTAGCTATTGCCGAGTCTACCATTGCCAAATGGGATTTCGACTCCTCCAACTATTCGAAGCTCACCTCTCTCTTCGCCGCCTACAACGGCAAAGCCTCCCGCTTCCTCACGCGCCCTGCTTTTCTTTTCCTCTTCC